AGCCTTCCAGTCCTCAGCTCAGCTTGATGGAAGTTCAACTCTGGGAGAATGTGGCTAAATATATGGGGCTTCCTGTCTCCTCGACTCCCAGTCAGGGATCACCACACCTCACTAGAAGGAACGTGTCATAACGCTTTTCATTCCTTCCATTTCCAAGATGAAGAAACTGAGTTCCTGGTGAGCGTGCTAAGGTCAGAGACTGCCTTCGTCCTCCACGCATTCCCACCCAGAATATGGAGGCTGTAACCCTGGGTGTGAAGGTGGGAAATCCTGGGCCCCTGACCATCTTCATTCCAGTTTACTCATAGGGCAGAAGTTCCTCTCTAGGAAAGGCAAGTCAAGAAGATCAAAGGCTACTGCCTCCTCCAGCATCCTGAGGAATGGCTCGGAGATTTTGCTCAGGAAGTGAAATAGTGCACAAGAACAAGTAGCTCTGAACCTGTCTGCAAGCGAGCTGATTTTACTTAAAATACAGTGTATAGACGCACAAGGCTAAGCATGTTCTAGGAAACAATAGCTTCTGTTAATTAGTGCAACAACAAATAAAACCCTAGGTGAGATAGTTCAACAGAGGAAAAGGAAATGAGATTTCTATGAAGAGCTCTGCTAGGATTAGAAAAAAAAAAGACATGACTGGCTTCAAAGCTACCCCTGCATGAATTTAATTGAAACAAACTGCTGAAAAACAAGGGCATTGTTGAAAATAAGAGCCAGCCAATAATTAATGGAGTGTGGGTTCTAGGTATAACCAAGTAAGGTAGACAGCCTAACAGAGAGATCACAGGACAAAGGCAGCTCTGCTAATACTGTCAGTATGACTTCTTTTTTTCTCTACAAACTACTGAAATTGCTTCAAAAAGAAATAGAAGTTCCTAAAGAGACATATAACAAGTAATGAGATAAAATTAATAATACAAACAAGTTCCACAAAGAAAAGTCAAGGACCAGATGGCTTTACCTGGTGAATTCCACCAAACCTTCAAAGAAGAATTAATACTATTTTTTTTATGAACTTTTCAAAAAGTAGAAGAGGAGAGAACACTTCCCAACTTATTTTATGAGGCCAGTGTTACCATGATACCAAAATCTAGCAAAGACATTGCATATGAAGAAAACTATGGACCAATATTCCTTGTGAAGATAGATGCAAAAATCCTCAACAAAATACTTGCAAACCTAACTCTTACAGCATAATACATGGATTACTTGCCATGACAAAATGGGATTTATCCCAGAAAGCAAGGTTAGCTTAATAACTGAAACACAATTCATATGACTATAAAACACTACATCAGTATAATCATGGACAAAAATCACACAATCAACTTAATAGACAAATGAAAACCATTTGACAAAATACACACTGCTTTTTATTAAATAGGATCAACAAACTATGAATAGATGGGAACTTCCTCAACCTATATAAGGCATTTATAAAAAGCCCATAAGTAACATTGTACTTAATGATGAAAAATCCAAGTTTTCCACCTCAAAGCAGGACAAGACAAGGATGTCTGCTCTCACCTCTTCCAATCTAGCTGGGAGAATTAGGTAAGAAAACAAAACCAAAGGCACCCAAAAAAGAAAGGAACAAGGAAAACTAGCTCTATGTAACTATGATACAATGTTACATTTATGAAAGCCTAAAGAATCCACCAAAAATATTTTAGAACAAAGAACAGGGTTCACCATGATTGCATGATAGCAAGACACAAGATCAATATACAAAAATCAGTTGAATTTTTATACATCAATGTGAAATAACCACCACCACCACCACCAATAGCAAACATTTTCATTAACCACAGCATGAAAAGGAATAAAATACATAGGAATAAAAACTTAATAAAAGTTATGTAAAAACTTACTGTCTCAAATTAGGACATAGTCTGGAAGGAAACTTTGAAAGACCTAAATAAACAGAAAGACATACAATTTTCATGGATCAGAAGACTTGAGATGGCAATATCCCAAAAGTGAACTCTAGGTTTATTATGATCTCTATCAAAATCTCAGATGATTATTTTTGATAAGCTTATAAATTGATCCTAAAATTGATACAGAAACTCAAGAGACCCCGAAGAGCCAACAAATCTTGAAAAAGAAGCACAAAGTTGGAGAATGAACATTTCCCAATAATCAAGGAAATGTTATACTGGCATAGGGTAGACATACAGATCAAAGGAATAGAATTGCAAGTCCAAAAATAAGTCCTTACATTTCAGCTAGTTGCTTTTCAACAGGTATGCCGGGATAATTCAGTGGGGAAAGAATAGTCTTAATAATCTGTGCTGAGACAACTGGATATCCATATAAAAAAGAATGAACCTGAGGTGCTATCCCACAACTTATAAAAAATTAACTCAAAATGGATTAAAGACTTAAGTGTAAGAACTGAAATTATAAACTCTTAGAAGAAGAATAGACATAAATTTTCATGATGTTGCATTAGGTAATGATTTCTTAGATGTGACATCAAAGCACAATGAAAGAGAAAAAATAAACTGGAAATCATAAAAAAATAAATAAAACCTTTGTGCTTCATAGGAAAACATTAAGGATGTGAAATGACAACCCACAGAATGGAATAATGTTTTTGGCAAATTATGCATCTCATCTGTTAAGGGGTTTGTAGCAAGAATATTTAAAGAATTAATACAATCCAATAACAAAAAGAAAACTAATAAAAATTTTAAAAGTAGCAAAGTGTGTGAATAGACATTTCTCCAAAGAACATAGATGACCAAAGAGGCCAGTAACAAAGAACTAAATATTTTATTACTTCAATTATATAAAATATCCAGAATAGTCAAATTGATAAAGGCAGACAGTGGATCAATGATTGTTTATGGGTGGAGATGATGGATAGACTGGGGGACAAAGACAAAGGAGCAGATGGATGCCCAGCTCTCAGACTACATACAAAGTCAAAGCAAGTACTATGGCTCATTATAGGAATTTGTGAATCATTGCATAGTAAATGGAAAACAAAATTTGGTTCAAAGAATATGAAATTGAAAGGCCCCACTAAAAAATACATAAGATCTATTAATGTCTTCTGCATTTATTAGGATACTTACTCATTCAAAAGAAGAATTTCTACTTATTATAGTTCAAATGGTAATCAAGATATTCTATTATAAAGCTTTTTCTCTATACATTTTTTTTTTCACTGAATAAACGCACTGAATTGTATTATGGGGTCCTGAGAAGAACAAATGATATTTCAAGGGTTTCATCACATGAACCTGAGAACTTTGCATTTTCTATTTTTTTTCACAACTACTGTGAATGATAATCTGTGGCTGTTGTATGTGAAATTATTGAAAGATCTTTGAAGACTGTAAATCAGCATCTTTTGTTCTAGTGATGTAAAAATTACGTTGACAGTGAAATATTTAAAAGGAAACTTTAAGTAGGTTATACGTGAAACATGTTTTGTGATAAATTTTACTTAATTACAGGGAAATATTTTGAAGGATGTGAAAATATTTTAGTGAATTGAAAAAGATGTTCACATGTTGAAGTGAAATAAATTCTTTCATAGTTGATGAAATAGATGAGTTCCAACAGTGAGCATTCAAAGAAAGCAACGTGAAAGTACACGACGATATGACGACCTGATTCTGAAATCACAAGGCGCCGTCACTATCACGTTCTGTTGCTTGAGGTCGTCACAAATGTCTTCCCAGATTCAATACATAAGGGTGAGGAATAGATGCCGGCACCTATTGGAAGGAATGTCCACGTCCAAGTCATACTGTGAGATCGTGGAGAACCGGAGATGTTATTGTGGCCATCTTTGGAAAATACAATCTGCATCAGGGATATATTAGAGAAATCACAACTTACATAGTCGTGGAGAGAATTCAGAAAGTGGAGTTCTGAAAATGGAAACTGGATGATCAGAGTTGCCGTTGACCAGCCAATCTGATAAGCCAAGTGTTCATATTTACCAATTTGGAGCAATCTATGTGAAGCCATTGTGATTGTTGCATGATGAGCCTTTGCTTCTCCTGTTCAGCGGGGCCGGCCGTGAGAGCTGTGTGCTGAGCGCGAAGGGGTCAGGGCAAGCTGGACATGCTGCGCAGCCCTGGGTGTGTGTCACGTGGGTAACCACGAGAGCCTTCAGGTAGGAACGGTAGGCGCTTTCCTTCCATCTCCAAAATCTTACACAATTTGTCCTGTAAGTGCTGAGAAATACCTTAACAAACTTGCTGCTGTACAAACCACCACACCAGATCCCATATAATATGCTGGGAAGAATATAATATGGTGTATCTGACACATTCTAAACAGGCCTCTGACCAAACTTTCTTCTCAAGCTGCTCTAGTTGCTCAGTGTTAAGGACACCTGAGGATACTGAGACAGGAGAATTATTATTTGTTGATATAAATAATGTGGAATGAATTTTCTCTAGAACTGATTCCGTTTTCAAAAATAATACCACACATCTCTGCAAGGTAACTTAGTTAACTTTATTAAGAATATAACTTTTTGACACAAAGCATGAAAACACATCTCCTTTCTTAATATTATTGAATGTACCTACATGAAATTTTCTTTTTTTTGTTTTTGAGCTAAACCTTGGAATTCGTAAGAATATTGAGCTCCACTAAAAAAAGATCACAAATTAATGCTTAAGTATCAATATTCTCAGCCCATCATTTAGTTTTTTTTTATGCAAAAGTTCAGGTTTTATTTTTAATAATTCTTACACAGGAGGGAGCTTATGTCAGGAACTTAAAAGCAAACAATAACTTTTCTATTTCTACACTGAACAATGGCATTTGCATTAGTCAAGACTTGCTTTTTTACATTTCACACAGAAATGCATTATTACTCTTTCTTGAACAAAATGACCAGGTTACTAAGGAAACCATCTTTGGAGGAAGTGTTTGATAAGTGTATTTTATTTAAATAAATCCTCCAGAATGAAATGGAGAATTTACTGCCTTTACTTAGGAGGCTGTGTAAATGGTTATCTGTCAGATGTATCTGTGCAACTCACCAAATTTCTTTACTGAAAACATAATATTTCCATATCACAGTTCCCAAATGGACTTTAAAGTCTCAAAATTCTGTGTCTCCTTTGGCTTGCTTCTCTCTTGATTCCACCCAGGCTTTATTAATGGTTCACTTCATATCATCATCTCCATCTTCATAAATTTTCTTTAGAACATTCATCAGTCCCTCACTAGGGTCTGTTTCATTGTCATAGGAGGGTTTTTCTTTCTCTTTGTGTTTCTTCTCAACCTGAGTCAGGTAGTCCCACCGTGTGTTTTCCGCGTTCTTTCTACATAAGATAAGAACTGTATCTGTCTTGACTTTTTTTGAACTGCCTTCCACAGAGATAGGTTTCAAGAGATTGTTCACAATCATGGAATAACTCTTCCCATTTAGATTCTTTACCAAAAGATCAAATGACCTCTCTGTGAAATGCACCTGCACATTCTCAGCAGGGACTTGATGAACTCCAGTCAGAGTGACATAGATTTTCACAAACTTCTCTGACTGATCCCATCCATAATTACTGATTTTCACTGTATATCCCATTGTAATGGGGGCGACCACAGCAGTTGGCTTTTCACTGTCAAGAGGTTCTGCTTTCCTCTGTGATTTCTGTTGCATCTTGTTCTTGATTTCTGTCTCAATCTTGGATTTTTCAGCTGTAAGGGCATCATGTATTCTTTTTCTAGTGGCCTTTTCCAGCAGCACCTTCACCTCTTCTAGATCTTTCTGTAGCTCTTCCGCAGCTGAAGCCATGGTTTGGCTGGGTCCGTAAGGCCCAAGCTACAACCGCACAGGGGAGGCCGGAAACGCCGCACCCAGAGCTGAGGTCGAATGGCACAAGCCGCAACCTCCGTGCACCCATCATTTAGTTTTAAGGTATCTTAAACTTTACATAAATGAAAGAAGAATCTTTGATTGTCCAATATATCAGCAAATGTTTTTGGTTCCTTACTCATCCCAGTGTGCATCAAGGATACAAAAACAGAAGGCTTTAAAATTAGTTACACTGTTTCCATGGAGACACATTAGACACAAATGGGAGATTAAAATAATGATAAATAAGTTAATGTTAATAGTTAATACATATGGAACAGACCTTAAGGTAACGAAAATTTCAAGCAGAAATTTTTGTTGAGAAGCTAGAGGGACAGAGCTGGGTTTTGAGGAATAAGTAAGATTTGGAGACATGTAAAGGATGGAGGAACACATTCCTTGGATGATATGAAGAATCAATGATTTGGACATCTGAATGGTGAATTTAGTCCTTTCCTAAAATCTGGGAAGCAGTGTGTCAAAGAGATACGAAGGACAGGTTTATGTTTTGGAAGGGATAACTGAGATTGCACACAACTTATAAGTCCTGAAAATATGAGATGGGAATAAAATGGCCATGAATACCAAAGAAAATTCTTATACAAATTTGTAGGATATATTTTCTTTAAAATTGTTTTTACAAGCCTACATTACACAAACTCAAATTGTAATCTGTAGGCAGATAATTGGAGCTCTGGCACCTTTTATTGAATATGAGTTCACTAGTTTTCTATAACATCACAATACTTTCAGCATCGCTTAATCACACTAGGCTTTAGCATTTAAAGCACTTACATAATATAATTTTACTACAGAACAAATTAATGTTTAAAAATCTTTTCCAACAAGTGTATAAAATACTTGAGGATATAGTACCATTTGAGAAGAGCAGAAGTAATGTGGCCATCAAGACTCATTCCTTTTAATGTCCTGGTTCTCCCCCAAATAAGGTCTGCTTACTATTTGAATTACCTTGGTTGTTTTCATGAGCTACTTGACTAGTAAACTATTAAACAAATTTTCTCCTATTCAAAACAAACACTTTTCTCTGATTTCTGTGCTGAGATTTCCAGTTTTTTTATATTCCTGTTCTTTGGAGTTGTCATAAACAATATATTAAGCTAATGATATTAATGATTTGTCCTCTCCTGCTTTTCAGAGCTGTGGCAGGCTAGTTAATCTTCACTGGAATATGCAAATAGAATTTCAGAATTTGGCATGCAGATGCATTAGAGAGGTAAGTGTAAAAGTTAATTTCACTAACAAAATCAATGCTTGCAAAAGTTTTTGTATTTCGAAATTAGTGTGCTGAGTCCATATCAGTTGCATTTAAGAAATATTATTCAATTCAGTCTTCTATTTGTTTGCTTATTTATTTTTAGTACTTAAATGTTTGTTTTGCATCTGAGTCTCTATAAAGACACAGTATTTCCAAAAACCTTTCAAAATACTTTCAATAGTGATAAAAGTAACTATGAGTTTTGCATTTTTACTGCCAAGATGCTGAGAGAAGTGAGGGAGACTTCATGGAAGAAAAATAATCTTGAATTAGTATTTGTTCTTTATTTATCTAACTTTTAAGGGCTTTATTTGCAGTCATTTAAATTATTATTGAATTTTCTACAATAAATACTAAAAGGAAAAGAAAGGAAAACATTCTGTGCAAACTAACTGTAATATTGTTGAAGTCTAAAATTGTCAGAATATTTTAAAAGTTAATTTCACAGATAGTAAGCATTTAAATAGTGGTTATTCTACCATTAGAATCCAATTATATATGAAACTTGGCTTTGACTATCCAAAGAAAAAACTGGGTATGGCATCAACCTTTGATGATATAATAGCAAATGAAGTTTGAGAAACCATTTCTATTGACCATGTACCTATGTATAGGTTGGATGCCCTGGGAAGCAAATTCTGAGACAAAGATTAGCATGCAGGATGTTTATTTAGTGTTTTTGGGATCAACACTGTTAAATGGAGAAAAGGAAGCAGAAACAGGCAGATGTTCAGTTGTGAAGTCTTCCTAATAAAGGCCTCTGCTGACCCCCACAGGGACTGGGGTTCAGAATTGTCTCAAAGAAAGTCAGGCCTTTTCTACATTTTTTTCTACACTTTCCACAGTTGCATCTTTACTGCCAGATGATCAGTTATAGAATGTAGAATGCTCCGGATTGGAGGCATGACCTTAGAGAGGCAAGTTTCTTCATCCAAGGCGGTCCAAAAAGAGGTCTGAGATAAGAGCTGTCTTTGGCAGGACTCCCAGCAAAGGGGAATATTCATGTCATTCTGAAGATGGATTAGGGGTGTGTGTCATATTTTCCACCACAGTTCCCCTTATAGATTCTGGGAGAAACTATTCTGGTGGGTCCCTTTTCCTGAGGAAACTTAACAGAGGAAGGTAAACAGGACAAATTTCAGCCCCCACAATGCAAATGACCACTGGAACACAGCTGACATTCCTTCCTCTACTGCCCATTCTAGACATCCCTCACTGAGCAAGAACCCCTGCCAGTCACAGTGGTCTATTAGTCATGACACAGACTATCAGCTTTGAGAGACATGAGACCCTAGTTTCTATGTCCTTCTTAGTGGGGAGTTCCTCCTTTACCCATTCACCATCACAACTGTCCAAGAGCACCACTTGGGTGGTAAAGTGCTCCTCCCTGCTCCCCTTGTGTTCCCCCAGCTCCACCACCTTCTCATGATCAGGATAAATTATATCTGACAAGATAACGACCCCTCTGCCTTCCTGCTGGGCCTTTGGCATGAAGAGCCCAAAGGATCCAAGTGGCAGCCACTGGATAATTCAGTGGAATTCTTATTGTTTTGCCTGGGGAAAGGGTTCACCCTTTTATGAGCCATGACCTTCCGGAGGATGACAGAATCAAACCTGAGAAACAGCTGTAGAGACCCAGTCCTCTCAGAGGAAGCCCAGTCTCATAGGATCTTGGGAGCTGTACTAGGCTGAGAGAGGAGTCCTGGGATGAGAGTCAATGCGAGCAAAAAAAAAGACGCCAGATCGGGCAGAAAGGGAAGCTGAGCGGCCATGCAGATGGACAATTAAGATGGGTCTTCAGAATCACCCCAAGTTGGACAAGGAGTATGAACTTCCACCCTTACCTTGATCAGCCCTGGATCACAGGCTGCCTTTGGAAAGAGGTGTGGTCGTGGGCAAGTCAGTTTTCCTTCGCTGAGACAGTACGCAAGGAGACCTGATAGTTGAAGGTCATCTCTTAGCAGTGTTTCCATAGCTAGGGAATAAGAAGCTCATTTCTGAAGGGGCATATAGACAGCGAATCACAGTACCCCTCACATGGTGCCACTGGACAAAATGTGAGGAACATGAAACCAGCTGATGGTACATTACAATCTTTATTTCTGGCACTCATTTCCTTCTTCTTGCTTCCTTCTTTTTTCTTTAGTGCTCTCAAGACATACGTGCTTATTAGGACTATTGTGTAAGGGATTTCATAAGTAAAGATAGAGGCAAAAGAAATGGCCTGAGCATTCACCTGAACGAAACCTCACGATTCTCACTCTCCTTGAAGTATAATTCATAGGACTACCAATCTCCACCTGTAAGGTTACGTGGGAGTGTTAGACTATCCTTAATTACATGGCTAAGACTTCCTCATCCATGAAAACTCCCCTCTAGTGTGATCTTCCATGAGAATCTTTGCTTATTTCTTCCTCAGATTATGTTTTATTCATGGGCACAAATTACTTTTATATATATAAAAATATATATTGAAAACTAGCATTTAACATTTCAGGTAGGCTTGAAGAAGAATAATCTTGAGCAATTGATCTCTTCTTTACCATGTCTCAGAGTAAATACACAAACGTGCTGTGGGCATTACCTGTTACTTTCTCCTGTTAGGAAGGTAGGTAGCTATTTGCCAGATAAGTTGGGATGGGCAGCCAGAGCTGTATAATGGCTAAGCCAATCAAGTGCTAACAGTCTTTCCTTGATTGATTTCTTTTGAAATGGTTAGTTCTTAACTAATTAGCATATAGTATTTCTAAGTCTATATGGACGTGTTCAAAAATAAGCATGCAGTATGATTTTGGCCAGTGTGATGAAAGGACAAGCTAAAAAGGGACTTCTAGGAAAGCATATTCTGTGATCTCACAAAAGGGTTTCCAAAAGTAACTCTGTTCTCTTTCTTTGGACATTGAAGACTAGGTATGAAGTTAGCAACAGCCCCACTCCAGAAGCTATATTCCCCAAAGCAAAGCTCAACTAATACCTCAACAGTCCCACCTCTGAAGACCCACCAGTCTCTTAAATCATTGCTTCCTAAAACCCTACGTAGGATCAACTTTCCTTAGGGAGAGTCTGCCTAAAAAAACATTCCTTCTTTGCTTACTGGGTAAGTTTTCTTTTTCAGATATTGAATGCTGATTTCTTCCTTCAACAGGATCCAGGAAATGCTATAGCTATTTTGTATCTATGCAGACTAAGGATTTGAGCAACACACAGAGATGTTTCCAGCCAAGACAAATAAGGAGAAATTGATTGAGCTGGAACAGCTGGGGCAGTAGGCTCATTTAGAAATACCTCCTTCCTCTGGATTTCCAGCTACATGAACCAATAAATTCTGTCATTATTTAAGCCGGTTGAGTAGGGTTTCCTGTTGCTTGAATGCAATGCAAGCCAACTGATAAGAGAAGTGATGTTTAGGCTAATTCATGAAAGATACATTGGTGCTAACAATTGAAAACAGAGGGAGAGAGCCTTGGAAACAGAAGGAACAACTAGAAAGGTAAAGGAAGGAGAGAAAACCACCATGTTAAGGAACTTTAAGTGCTGTCACTCAAAGCTAGTGGAATTACAAGTGTCTATGGGGAATGGGAGAAAAAAACCTTATGAGATTAAAATATAAGTTTAGGGAGAAAATAACACATCCAAGTCTCTTAAGCAGTCTAGGCTTTTATACTTATTTGCCTATTTGACCATCTGAGTAACTCATGTAACTTGAATTGTTCAACCTGATTTTTTTC